GGATTTGGGTGGAGTGTTATCTATTGGAAATAGCTTCTGGAAGCTATAATTGATTGATATGGGTCTTGTGGGGTTGGTAGGATTATACAAGTGAAGCAGGAAGATGTTGCCTGGTGGACAAGATGCAGGTATCAGGAGCCCTGGGTCTGCCTGAGAATGCAGCCCAGCCTGGCTGTGGGTCATTTCCTGGTAAGTAGCAAGTAAGCTGTGGAGAGCCTTCAGAACCCATGGAGTGCGGAGTTGGTCACTGGCATAGGAGGGGACTTCCACATACAAACTATAAATAACTAAAGTAGTGATTACAAAGAGTTAGTTTGGCATGTTGTACAGAATGGGGAGTGTGTGGAACTGGGCTGACAGCAGAGAAGCCCAAGGCAGCTTTGTTCCAGAACCTTCAGAACGCTTTCATTTTCTGTTCAAGTAAAGATTTTTCTTTTTAAGATAAAATGTGCTATGCATTTGAAATCATTTTTCCCAAGCATTCTACCATCTGAGCTGTATCCTCAGCCTCTGTCATCAGGACTGGAGATATGTTGATTTAATCCCTGACACAGTTTTTAAAAAAAAACCTAGTTTTAATAAAAGTCCAGGCAACCAGTTTGCAGTTTATTCTTCCTAGACTGTCAGGTTGTCGGGAGGAAAGGACTGATAGAAATAGAGGGACTTTAGTCAAACTTGTCTTGTTAAATTCTAAGATATTTACTTATTTATTTAGGTTCTTTGCTGTAGGGTTTCACATAGCTCAGTCTGACCTTGAACTCTCCCTGTAGCTAAGCCCTGAACTCTTGGTTTTCCTGCCTCCACCTCCAATAATGGCAGAGCTTGCATCATGAGCCCCTAGGGCACTGAATGCCTCTCACTAGACCCTGCCACCTCACTGAACTCTTAGGCTTGTCTTCAGTTGTAAGCTTTTGTATTAACATGGCATCTCAAGTCTTCACCCGTGACAATGCTGATATTTGGGTTGAGTGTTGTTAGGATATTTTCATGGGGAAGCCGTGGCCATCCTGGGCTGTCCTATTTTACATTATCACTGAATTTTAAAGTAAATTTCTTTACATAAAAAGCAAAACATTTTTCTCAAATATAATGGAGAGTCAATTTAATCAAGAGAAATATTTAACTAAAATTCCCTTTAAGGAGTGCTTTAAAGCAAATATAGTAACATACACATGAATTCTGAAATACCAAGATTCCAGTTTCCTACTAGGATATATTAGTGTTTCTAACAAAGCCTTTTACCAACTAAATATAACTGGGTCATATGCAAATTAGTAATATTTCAGAAGAGGTTATTTTCATCTACCAATTTTCTGTTTTCTCTTATTGTTATTAAGTTGTTAAACTATGTTAAATTTAGAAAAACAAAAGCATTACTTTCTCTTTGGTTCTTGTATCTGGATTTTTCCTTCCATTGAAAAGACATTGATTGAGTACATCCTTCAGGACTGGCACCATTGGGACACAGAGACAACTCAGGGTGGCTGTATCACCCTGGGACAAGGCTTGACCTAATGAAGTGTTATGGCTGCTCGTCAGGCTCCAGTCTTTGGTCATGGAGGCCATAATAAGACAGAAGGGATAGACAAAAGGGTCAGGGCAGGCTTTGAAGAGGAAGGATACCTGAGTTGAGTTTCCAAAGATAGCACAGTAGAAAGCTGGAATCCCAGGACTCTAGAGCAAGGCACAGGACCTGAATTCCAGGCTAACCTCAACTACAGAGTCACACATTGTCTTAAAACCCCAAAAAGTAAAAAATTAAAAATGAAAAGATGTGACAACTAGAAAAAGCATGATTTCTGGTGGAAAGCAAAATAAATTCCCCTCTTTCTCACCCTCTTCTCTCTCTCTCTCTCTCTCTCTCTCTCTCTCTCTCTCTCTCTCTCAATGTCTCTGTCTCTCTCCACACACACATACACACACACACACACACACACACAATCTGTATTTACCTTTTAAAGCAAGATGTGACTGGGTACTTTCATTCACAAGCCTTGCTGAGTTACAAGACCTCGAGGAGCTTAGGGTTTTCTTCTTGGCACTTTACACTGGAAAACAAGCCCCATGGGGACTTCTTATTAAGTTGTTTCAGCTTGAGTTCTTACCTCTTAGATTAGTCCTTAACTAAGATTAGTTAGTACATGCAGAATTCACTACAGGGATGAAAAATTTTCAAAAGTAGATTCTAGAAGTTGACACTTAAGGCATCTTAACAGTTTTTTTTCCCCATTTAGACGTGAAGCTCTATCTCAGGACACTTCAGTGACAGGTGATTTGGTCTACTAAGAAATCCAGCTCAACAGCTTAAACAGTTCAGATTGCTTACCTTATGTCGTTCAACAAATGTTCTCCCAACCTGCTGAAACAAGCCTGCAGTGCCACCATCTAAGAATCAGAAAGCAATTTTATCTTCCCCTTAGTTTTCATGCCACACAGATACTTTAAATCTTGCCCAACTCCTTGAAACTGTATTATCAGAAGGAATAAAGGAAGCATTGAGCACGTGGTTCTTCGGGTGAAGCTTAGTCTGCTCCTTCTGTGAGCCATGTGTTACCATCTCCTTCGAGGGGGCATTACTCCAGCTAGAGCAGCACTGGTATCATCTGAAGTGGATCCTCTTCATCAGTTCCTAGACCAAGCTTGATCACCTCGTGGATCCTGTTAGCATGTGTCTGGGGATCTTCCAGACTGAAGCCAGAAGACAAGGTGCAGCTCTTACACAGGATGACCTGACCCTTCACACACTTGCCGTTCTTGTCAGTCTCTACCTTTCGCCTGCAGGTTTCAGTACTGGAGTGGTCAGGGTTTATCTCCGGGTTTCTCTGCCACCATGTAACCTGTCATTGAGTTGTCCCTGAGGGCCTGGGCTCACATGGCTCTCTCCATGTTTGCTGTCCACCCATATGTTCTGTGGCGATTCCATGAGGGTTTCACCAATCACTTTGACCTTTCAACCTTTCCTTTTAAGATGTCTTTTATAATTTTGTAAAAGTTTTCAAACATTGTTTTTCTCTTGCTGTCTTCCTTTTCTCCTCTTCATCTTCTGGAAGTCCCAGTCCTTCTTTGGTAACGGACATTACAGTCTCGCCCTCAGGTCCTTCAGCTGTGAAGTCCTTCACTGTATCATCCATGGGCTCAGTTGTACAGATTGCTGCTCAGTCACGCTGTCAGAGATGTTCCGAGTTAGCTACTTGGTTGTTGGTCTCAGCTGGGATAAAATGGATGTGCTCCTGGTTCTCATTCACTCTGGGCCACACTCCCTGAGAGGAACCACCTCATCCCCAGAAGCAGGTGTGCAGAAGCACAGCCACTCTGGAAGCTGCTTCTAATTTTGAGAGGCTTCATGAATTCCGAGCTTTATGTTTTTTGAGAAGCATTCATAAAACTTTCTGTAGTTCACTGCGTCTTCTTCCAGGTCAGCGGGTAGCTCAAGCATTTTTTGACCAATTTTTTTTCTTATAACTTTCAAGTTCCTGCTTTGCTGTGACATTTCGTGGGAAATACTTAGAGGGAGAGCCTTGGACTCCGCCGCCCCTCTAGTGAACATCAGATACTCAGAGATTAACTCCTCACAGTTACCCATGCTGAAAACTCAGTGTATGTACAACTCAATCTTCTTCTTTTTTTTCTTTCTGTTTCCAAACAGATCAAAAGGAGCAAATCTTGGGACAAAAAGAAGAGCTCAGAATTCCAATTGTCCTTCAACATAAAAAACTGCTTTACTGCCAGTGCCCTTCCCACTTGTTGGTTAGGCTCTTGGGACCCTCCACAGTCTCCATTAGCAATGTCTTCAGGATCTCTGGGCCAAGTGGCTCTGCTGTTTAATTCTTCCTGACCCATGCGCTCCCTTAAAACCTCCTTCTTGTTACTGTCCTTCTCATTGTCATGGGAACCAGTATCTTCTGTTTCAGACTTGACATCAGACTGCTGTTCTTCTTTTTCTTTCTCCTCCTCTTTATCTCGTTTTTCTTCAGCCTCATCATCACGGGTTCCTTATCATGTCTCCTTCTCCAGAGAGAGTGATGGAGTAGCCAATAAGCTAAGAATGTTTCTTCCCAACTTCCTTTATTCTCATTTCCTCCGAATACTCAGCTCGGCCTTCTTTCATTCAGATGAAAACCTTTGGTTCCCTGAGTCAGTCCTCACTGGAAAGACGCCCCTGCTGAGGACTCAGGCACGCTGCTCATCATCATTCTTGGTGACCACAGTCACTTTCTCTGCAACCAAATACACAGAGTGGAAAGCAACACCAGACTGGCCAGTCGCAGAGATGTCTGCACCAGTCTGCAAGGTCTCCATGCAGGCTTTGGTGCCAGTCTGATCAAGTCGGTCTTGGCCATTCCAGGTCTAGTGCTGGTTTGATCTTGTTTGTTGGTAAAGAGATTAATGTGCAACTCCTTCCCTGAGTAGTTTACTCTCAGGGAGTTGTCAAACTCTCATCTCTGATCTTACCCAGAGGGTCTAATGAATTTGAAATGAGCGCCCTCAGGAAGATTTCTTCATTCAAATAGAAACTATTGATGATCAAGGACATTAACTGGAAATTTTTTGCCTTAAAGGCAAAAAACCTCTTCCTCCTCTACTGGTTGGTCTTGGATCTGAATTTCCTCAGGCATCTTTGCTAAGTGACCACACACAAACCGAGACTAGCTGCACCACGACACTAAAGCGACTCATATAAGTTTCTTGAACTTTCTACTCCTGGGTAAATACCAGTTTTCCGCAACCTCTGGAGGTGCTGAGAGCCTGCATGTGTGCACTCTGAAGGATCATACAGTGTACTTTGGGATGTGTTTAATTGCCTGGCAGTGACCTCCTCCCTGGTGGAAGTGCTGGGGAGTAAGCACACCCCCTCTCACTGTGTTGTGATTCTAATTGCAAGAACCCAATCTCTTAAGAAACATTTTTTCTGTCCATTTCCAGGTTAGGATGAAACTCTCTGAGAACAGTCCCTCATACTGAGGGTTGGAATCCAGTCCATCTAGAAATTCAGTCCAGATATGTGGTTTCAGGCAGTGGTCCCAACCCAGGTTCACCTGAGGTTTTGGTTTCTTACACTGCATCAGCCCCTTCTGTTCCAGGCTCTCCTGGTGCTTCGATGTATTTGTGGCTATTTAGTGACAAGATGGACAGAAAGTTTACATTGTAGTAACCATCAAAACAACTCTGTAAAAGAATGTGTTGTCTTCTGCATAGACAAAAGATTCAATAAAATGATGCTGCCCCTGAGGAGCTTCTGAATGTGCCTCCTGGGAAGAGACAACCTTCATTCCAGGAGAGATGAAGGGCTCCATAAGGATAGAATGATGTATATTTTGTCTAGTTTATCATGTAAAGGATGAAGGCTTGAAAGTACTGACAATACAGTAGCTCAGAGACAGATGAGTGGGTGAAGGGAGAAAGATTTAAAGGGAAGTTATTGGAAATCTGTGCCTTGTGTTTCAGTGCCACTGAGAGAGAGAGAAGCAGCCCCCAAATGACTAAGGCATCAGTTATAGCTCAGGGGTACTTGAAATAGAACACACCAGCCTCATAGGAAAGCAGAAGACCAAATAAGAAAGATCCTGTTTATTAAAGTGGATTTTAAATGGAACGTTTCAGTTTTAATTTGGGGCTACTTGCTATTTTACAGATGCCATGTCTATTCCCTCAGAAAAAAGACCATCAATGCAGACAAATATGGGTTTAGTCAAGAGACTGGAGGAAACCATCACAAATACTACCACAGGAAGTCCCCCACAAACTCCTCAGGAAAAGCAGACAGCTGTAGAAAGCTTTGAAACACTGGCACCTTCACAGGCATTTAGGCCGTCTGGTAAAGACGAATTTGTCAGCCTGGGTCTGAGGATGTCCAAGTCAGAGTTCATGTTCCACAACCAGTCCTCTGTGGAGACACTCTACGTCTCACCCTCGTTCAAAACTGCCAGCCCCGAGAAGGAGACCAGAGCCAGTGAGGACGTCCAGACCCCTGTGCAGTCCAAAATCTGCTGGATGGAAGAAGATGTCAGCCTCAAGCCCTTAGCCATGCGGGGTGAGTGTGCCCCCAAACAAGCCAATAATGCTAGTGAAAATGTTCTGCAGAGGCCTTCTGTGACCTCTCTGCCTTCTGTCCTTTCCTTGTCTTCTCCACTCACTCTTCCTCAATCCTATCAGGATGTAGCCACCACTGAAGGGCTTCTTGGGAGGTCATGTGTCCTTTTTATTAAATGAGTAGCAGACACTTCAAGCAAGTACTTGATCGAATATATTAACATCAATTCTGAATAACTGTTATGCAAACCAAATTAGATGTTACTGACATTCACTGAAGCTTCCAGTTAAACATGTAGGTAACTCACGAAGAGACTGTGTGCAAGAGAAGTGGTTTTGTGTGCAGACACATATACATACACAGCTGTGTGTGCATTCTCTAAGGCTCTAATGTATGTGCGCCAAAGAGTTAAGGAACCATGTCCTTTCTCTGTCTATCGCAGCAACCGAGGAAGAGGATTGAGGGCAAGGTGAGCAGGACTGTATAATGAGTCCCTGTGTGAAACACAACAGAATGAAATGAGCTGCGGTATTATTTAGACTGCGATAGAGAATCAAGTCTGGCTGTTGACTGTCACCTAGTAAATCTTGCATTATGCAATTAGGCTTTCCTTTTCAAAGTTAATTAGTAAAAGAATAGTTTGTTTGCACATGAATTTTTAAAAACTAAGTGGTGACTTTGTAGGTGCTTCTGGGTAATAATGCTCACCAACTTGTATGAGTTCAAAGATTTCAACATAAATCTTTTAAACTGCCTCAAATGCAAATCAAAAATGCATATAAACAAAAGTAACGGAAGCCAGCATGTAAAAATACATAGAAATAAGAACAATGGGGCAGTTGGGGGGTGTGTGTAAATGAACTGACCTTGGTCTCAGGCAGTGACTAGTAAGAGAGCCTCTTTTAAAAGGGGTTTCAAAGATAACTCTGTTTAAAACATTTTGGTATTGAATAGCCTGAAGGTAGTAAAACTGAATCTTAGGGTTGCCAAGGTGGCTCAGCAGGTAAAGACACTTTCTACCAAACCTGATGGCCTAAGTTCAATCCCCAGGACCTACACACTGGAAAGAGAGCATCTACTACTACGTGCTTTCTTTTGACTTTCTGGCACACTGTGACACAAGTATGCATGCCCGCGCGCGCGCGTGCGCACACACACACACACACACACACACACACACACACACACACGGATGAACGGACGGACGGATAATAGATAAATAAATGTACTTTTTTAAATGAATCTTCGTTTTGTCATCAAATTAACTTTCTTGCTGAGACTACCTGCCAAGGAAGACACCTCCTGCTGTGCTGTGGTGACCTCTAAGCTTCTGTGCTCTGGGAAATTGCTATGGTTATAATGAAGTTGACAACCATCTAACACCACCTCTTTTTACCAATCTAAACGCAGTGGGACCTGGAGGACAGAGCTGATGAGTAAAGTGGACTAAAGCCTCTGCGGTAGCTACTTTATTTAGAGCACAGGCAAATTATATTCTGAGGGCTAAGAGAATCACATGAATAAAGTGTGCAATCACAAGGACAAGCCACATGTGGCAAAAACATGTTTTTCCATAGAGGCATTTACTTGAAAGCAACAACAAGCAATAATAAGTAATCCTAAGTAAACTACCTTCTACATCTGGGAGGAGCACGAAAAAGCATTCCAAGGACATGCTGTTTTCTGTGTTTTGAAGAAACTGAGGTCATAAGACTCTTATCTTGTTTTCTTGGTGTTTTCTCACAAGCATTCAGAAGTCTCCTCATACGACTCCATTCTTGGAGCATTTTCTGACACACCTCCAATAATATTAAAGCTGAAAAATTACTAGAAGCTGGTTTAAGTTATCAGAAGACCACCAAGAGAGAAACACAGTGGATCTGAACCCCAGGGAGAAGAGTATTTTGACAAGTCCCAGTTGATCTCAGTCATCCCTCCTTGGATCAGAAGTGGGTTCCCAGTCTCGCTGGGCTTTGGAGGTTGAGTTTGGGGATTCCAGTAAGAGGATGAGGAGCCACAGGGAGACAGTTTTTTGTCTGCAGCTGCATGCTGCAAAGCTGAATGTTCTCAGAGAGAAAGAAGCTAAAGCAGGGAGCTTCTGAGACACCAGCGCACTAAGCAGAGCCTCTGATACCCGTAAGATGTCAAAAAGAGGGAGCATTCCATGAAGATGCTCCTCTCATTCGGCTGGGCCAGGGGACCTGGACAGGCTCTGTCATTCAGCCACACTACAGGAAGAACATGACAGAAATAGCAGCATCCTTATATGCAGAACATCCGTGTAGAGTCTAGACCCAGAAAACAGACCTTTTGCAAAAGCTACTATGATTTCTCACAGAAAAACTTAGGCATTTAACCAAAAATTTCTAGGTATAAGACGGAATGAACAAGTACACAGAAAGCCCACAGGAGCAGAGTCACAGATGTCTAGAATCTAGAGTCACCAGGCATATAAGGCAAAGACTTTCAAATAGAAGATAGACTTTCATTAGACTGCTACCCTCTATGTTGTGAAAAGGTCAAGTGGGCATTCTAAAGCTCAAAAAAAAAAAAAATACTGTCCTGAAATGAAGACCCCTGGCTACTCTGATCTACACAGCCTAGCAGGCATTCAAGCGACACTGCTGTCTGCAAAGTGCATATGTAAGAGCCAAGGTTGAGCTCCCAAAACCAAGGCCAAACAAAACCCTCAAAACCTCTCATGTTAAGTTTATGGTTTATGTTGGGCGGGATTCATAGATGTTGTTAACTGTGCGTGGTCACATGCAGCTTAGATCAGATGTCTGACATCCCCAGTTGAGCAACAAAGGACAGTTGTACAGAGACATGGGGTGAGTGGGGGGGGGGATGGCGGAAGTCCAAGGGAGACTGAGAAGGGTGCACAATATAAATTGTGTATAAATTCTACCCAAATCCTTGACTGATCACTAACTAAACTTGTAGGGAGACCCCCTGATCCATGCTGGAAACCAAAAGAAAAAGCCTTCCACTTCCGTGCACTGAATGGGTGACAGTTGGAAGAGTCAGGCCCACAGGAGTGGACACCAGTCTTCAGGGGCTCCACAAACATACACTACAACATTTTCAGGGGACTGTCACAGAGTCAAGGGGCTCTACTAACGTGTACTACGATATTTATTAAATGCCCAACATGGAGCTGGAGATATGGCTCAGTGCAGAGGATCCAAGGCCAGTTTCCAGCAACCACACTGGGTACCTCATAGTAGCCTGCAGCTCCAGCTCCTGTGCTCTCCTTTGGCCTCACAGATACCTTCACTCACGTGCATAAACCCACACAGACACATAATTAAGAAGAAATAAATAAGTTGCCAGACTTTGAAATTAGTAAGAAGCCGTGACCCATAGTGAAGACATGGAAGAAGTTGCTAGAAGCTGACAGCTAGATGGCAAACATACTGTGGTTAGCATGTGAGTTCATGAAGCAACCATTAAAAATGTATTCAAGAAGTTGGCCTGACATGGTGAACACTTGTGTATGCAGCACTCATGAAGCTAGGGCAAGAGGATGATGAGTTCAAGGCTAGTCTACACTACATAGTGAGTTTGAGGCTAGCCTTGGCTACACAGAAGGATACTGCTCAGCAAACAACAAAAAATATACCCCAGGACCTCATTATTCACAATGAGTGAACGGAGAGGACAGTCTCCGAAGACAAGACCACAAAGGAACAAAATGGACACCGCAGAGAGGAAAACTAGCGGGAATGGCAACTTCCCTGGAGACGAAGGAAGGATAAGTAAGGGAATCTGGAGATAAATTAACAGGAATAATCTAATCTGCAAATATAAAAACTAGCAATACATTTTTAAACTAAGTGTTTGTTCGCCAGCCACATGAGGATCAGGTTAGAAAATGCTAGTAAAATACTCAGAAGAACCCTAAATTTGGAGCCCTTACTGGTACCCTTCTAGATAATCTATAAGACAAAGATGAAACCACAAGTTAAATAAGGAAATATTCCCAACAGTGGCTGATTATAAGAAAGACAGTGGGAGGGCGCTGCTCTGCCTGCATGAGCCCCAGGTTCAAGTCCCTGCCTCACCAGGGAAAAGAAAGATGGTATAGCTACGGACACTGTAAATACCAACATCAAAGCAGTATAAGAGACTATTATTTGATCAGTGGGTTTGGCCCTCGATTGAAATGGGTAAGCTAGTAAATGACTGAAACTGACCTGAGATAACCTTTGTGCTTGTCATAGGTCATAGATAGATCTGTGTGCGTGTGTGTTCCCATGTTAAAGGTGTATGTTATAATATGTGCATATATACCTATGTTAAGGGAGTGTGTATATATAATATGGGAGTGCATACATTTACAAACATATATACCTGAGTATATTACCAGGACCATCTTACAAACAATGCCTCGATCCCATGGAGTTTTGCTGGCACATTGTAAGGAAGGCAAAGCATCAGGCTTTCTCGTTCTTTCCGAATACTCCCAGGGCATTACCCCATCATCTCATGAAGATGGCTAATCTGCTACCTGTGTCTGACATACAGTGCAAGAAAAGTAAATTAGAGAGCAACATGGATTAACATCAGATGCAGAAAGTCTTAATAAGATGTTAGCAAATCACATCCAGCAAGATCAAGAAGTGACAATGTCCCACAACCCAGTGGGATTCTTCCCAGAGCTGTAGCGTTGGCTTGACGTTTGAAAATGAATCTCTACGATCCACCACATTAATAGAATAAGATTTAAAATGATATAATTATCTTGATTCATGTAGAAAATTGATACAATTCTACATTCAATTATGATTATAAAAAATGTAAGCAAATTAGGAATAAAAAGGAGCTTCCCTCAAGCTGATAACGAGTGTCTTTTAAAATTGCACCGCAGACATAATTAATGATGAAAGAGCGAGGGCCGTCCAGACTGCGTCAGCAAGGAGCAGGGCGCGTGTCTTCTGAATCAGTTTTCTTCAGCAGTGGGTTAGAAGGCCCGGCTGGGCAAAATAGACCATAGGAAGAGATCAAAGACGTGGATACTGGAAAGGAAAACA